AGCGTTGCTGTGTCAGAGGTAATAAATGAGTCCGTTCACCTAACTAGTGCTGTGGGTGTTGGATTTTATTTTACGACGGCCATAACGAGTCTTCCTTATGCGGCCTAACCTACCTCGTAACTAAGATAAGTAAGGTTGTTGGGAATTTTGTTTGTTTTTTTTTTTAATATTGTAGTCTATCTATGTGTATATACATTCTACATAATTCTAGAGAACGCACTTGTGAACAAATGAAGGAATTTTTTTTCAATGACAGCAAATCAAGTCTAAAGGAGTAAAAGAGAAGGAAATCGGAAAATGTTAAATATGTTCTGCATCAGTTCACCCAGTAATCTATTTTATATATTTATATTCGCTCTATTGTCACTAAAAATCACATATTCAAGCATTTCTTTCTCAAAACCATTTTTCGGCATTTCAAAGAAAAAAACCCAACTAATGTTTTGTTTGAATTGTCTACAATATTATTCCATTAAAACATAATAACATACTTAGTTTAAACTCTCACGCCTATCACGCAGAGGGGTAAGCAGAGACTACCATACTTCTTAATGACCACATTTCTACAGCATTGATTTTACTTTAACCATTACCACCCATTAAACCATTATTATTCTTCTCGCATTATTATTATTATGCGAAAACAGCCAGAGTTCTTGGGTTCTGTACTGCGGGGAATAGGACTGTATAATAATTAAAGATTTTAGTTTTAGTTTTTTTTAACACAGTAATAAATATTGTATATTTGAATGATAATACTTATAAATAAACTATTTTAAAAATTTTGAAAAAAGAAAACATCGATATTTATCATTTATTAACACAGTATTAATAAATGTTTTTACCACCTATGGTAAAAACTGCATGCAATTTTAATTATCTACGTTAGCGAAATAAGCACTAACATCGACATTAACTATTTACACTGTTATAACATTATAATAGTAATAATATTCTCCATGAATTTCGGTCACGGCGGCCTGCCTCAACTAAGACTAGCCATCAGCGCAGGACAGGATTATAGTGCCCAAGTGTATGTACAAGCCCAAGTGCATTCTCTATTCCCTCACTCTTATAATCCGATGGAACGGTAAACCGACACTACCGGAAAGAGATCAGGCGCAGGACCAACGGCTTTAGGTGCTTTCTTAATAAGTCGGACATATTAAGGATGTCATTGAGGAGAGATTTACATCTAGCCACGCTTCTGTTCGGATGCATAAAATCAGAAAGACCGGAATACCTCTTTCAAAAATTAAAATGGAGAAGAGCAGATGATTGTCGAAGCATCAGAACGGGTACACCAATTCTGGCAATCCCATTTCACCGAACAGCCGCGTTTCGTGGTAGTTTTAGATACATGGCCACTAAATGTTGGAATAATTTACCACCACCTTTACGGGAATCTAAATCTGTAAACGGTTTTAAAGCTCAACTAAAAAAAACACCTTTTAACATTTCAAAAATCATGATTTCACGTGTAGTGGCAGGTTATTTCATAAGTACTGTTTAAAAAATATATACGAATAATTAATATGAATATAGTACAATCTATCATCATCATCATCACAGCCCTTCACAAGTCCACTGCTGAACATAGGCCTCCCCCAAGGAATGCCACAAAGCACGGTCCTGAGCCACCTGCATCCATCGACTTCCTGCATATCTTACCAGGTCGTCACTCCATCTAGTGGGGGTCGCCCTACACTACGCCTACCGGTACGAGGCTGCCATTCGAGAACCTTTCTTCCCCATCGGTTATCGCTTCTTCGAGCTATAGGGCCGGCCCATTGCCACTTCAGCTTACTAATCCGTTGGGCTATGTCGGTCACTCTGGTTTTACTGCGGATATCCTCATTTCTGAGTCTATCACGCAGAGAAACTCCGAGCATAGCCCTCTCCATAGCTCGCTGAGCAACTTTGAGCGTCCTCATACGGCCAGCAGTGAAGGACCACGTCTCTGATCCGTAAGTCATCACTGGCAACACGCACTGATTGTACACTTTAGTTTTCAGAGATTGAGGTATACCTGACGAGAAGATGTGTCGTAATTTCCCGAACGCTGCCCAGCCGAGTTGAATCCGTCGATTGACCTCTCGGTCGAAGTTGGACTTACCTAGTCGGACTATTTGTCCCAGGTAAACGTACTCGTCAACAACTTCGAGCATAGTGCTCCCAACAACTACCGGCATAGGTGTGACATGGACATTAAACATGATCTTTGTTTTGTCCATGTTCATCTTAAGACCTATCCGTTGGGAGGCACTATTGAGGTCATTGAGCATAGTGCTTAAGTCCTCTAGCGATTCTGCCATAAGGACTATATCGTCGGCAAATCGAAGGTGAGTGATATACTCGCCATTGATGTTAATACCGTATCCTTTCCAGTCCAGTAGCTTGAAAACGTCTTCCAAAGCAGCGGTGAAGAGTTTCGGGGATATAACGTCACCCTGTCTTACACCTCTCTGCAGTTGGATAGGTTTCGAGCTCTGGTTCTGTACTCGGATAGCCATCGTAGCCCTACTGTACAAACACTTCAGCACTTCGATATACCGACAGTCAACTTGGCACCGCTGAAGGGACTGCAGCACCGCCCAAATTTCGACGGAATCAAAGGCTTTCTCATAGTCCACATACGCCAGGCAAAGTAGCAAATTGTACTCTTCGGTCTTCTGTACAATCTGCAGCAGGGTATGTATGTGGTCTATGGTACTGAAGCCTTTTCGGAAAACGGGTTGTTCGGGAGGCTGGAAGTCGTCGAGTCTGCGTGCGAGACGATTCGTAATGACTCTCGAAAACAGCACGTAGACGCGGCTCAGAAGGGAAATCGCTCTGTAGTTCTTCAAGAGAGCGTTGTCGCCTTTCTTAAAGAACAAGACCACCGCACTTCTGCTCCACGCCTCTGGAGTAGTGCCACCATGGAGGACGGAATTGAAGAGCTTCTGAAGGACTTCAAGTACCGGTGTTCCACCCGCTTTCAGAAGCTCCGCTGTAATTCCATCCTCGCCTGGGGCCCTGCCGTTTTTAAGGTGCTGGAGAGCCATTCTAATCTCGCTCAGACTGACGTTCGGGATATCATCGGAATAGTGTCGGATAAGACTTGCTCTTGGATCGTTACTCACACTTGCGTGTGGCTCCAACGATACAGCTGCCACATAGAACCTCTCAATCTCACTCAAAATCTCAGGTGTCCCGGAAACGATGCTGCCACACTCAGTCTTCAGCCTTGACAGTTGGCTCTTACGGGCAGACAGATCTCTGGCAAAGACTTTGGAGCCCTGGTTCCGCTCGATCGCTTTTTTAATATGAGCAGTATTAAAGTTGCGTAAGTTTCGCCGCATGCATTTGGAGATCTGTCTGTTCAGTTGCCTGTATGCTGTCAAATCTGTTGACGATTGCAGCCTCATCTCCCGTCTAACAGCCATGAGATTAAGAGTGTGATCGGAGAGTTTTTGTGTTCTTCTGCGGCGGGTCTTGCAGAACTTAGCTCCGACCGCATGGACAGTTTCCACGAGCTTGTCATTCTCTCGGATAATCCTATAATACTCCAGCGCAACTTGTCTATCTCTTCTTCCAGCTCCAGGATCTTCTCGTCAGTCCTCAGTGTGCGTGCGTTAAATGTTGCCAGGTCGAGTCGTCGTAGGTGGCAACCGAACCTCCACCGGAGATTCTTAGCACCCCCTGCCCCGCCGTTACCATGGTCGCCACCGTAGCCAGGAATAGCGGGGCCGCCGGGGACTGGGGGCCGTCTATTTGTGTAATTCATGGGGGATATATTGCCATAGTTGCCACGCTTGGCGAGCGGGTTGGCAGCCGCAGTTTTTTTTTGTCGTACAGTTGCTGTTATCAGGAAGATGCTGCTGCCCATCTCCTGCCTGTTTCCCTCTGTCGCCTTTTACGACACCCACGGGAAGATATGGGGTACAGTACAATCTAAAATGTAATATATTTTTGTGTGCGAGTGTGTATATGCACGTGTATGTATATGTATTTTTTTAACAATTAATGTTATTCTTAAAAATGTACACTGAGTGAATGGTTGATTTATTTATTTATATTTTTTTAATGGAATGTTAGCACCGATAACAGCGCGGGCGCAATATCGAATAAATACTATTCAGGGCTCCGCTGAAAATCAGCGCTGCTGCAGTACGTGTGGTAGCATATGCTGAGTCGGAATCCTTTTTGGCATCACATCACTCACTCTTGCCGAGACTTATTTTTATTATGTTTACCATCTTGTACCTTGTGTGTTTTTTATGTTTTTATTTACTTTTAAATGTATATTTTGTGAGTGTATTGATGCAAATAAAACTTATGTCTATGTCTATGTCTTTCCGAGGTACGGGGGTGAGACACCACCAACTTCCTGACTCCGGGCAGTTATTGAGAATTTCTTGACGGAAAAACCCATTAAGTAATTGTTATTTTTTATCCCGGCCCTGGATTCGAACCCAGGACCTCATGATCAGCAGTACTACAACCACTAGGCAGTTTATTAACAAGTTAATAACATTATAAGTATCTAACAGCAGCGTGTCTGGTCTCTGATGCCTCTTTGCCTGCACTTCAAACCATTATAATTATAATAATAAAATATTAATTCAAAAGTGGCATAGTATTTTGGTCTGCTGACCGTAAAAGAAAGTTCCTCAGCGAGCTATGCTGAGTATCTCTGCGTGATAGACTTCGTAACGATATCTACAGTATAAAACAGATTTACTGACGGAGCCAATGGATCAGTAAGCCGACATCGAAAACCGAGTGGGAAGAAAGGTTGTTAAGTAGCAGCTTAGTAGCCTGCTGTATGCAGGAAGTCAGTCCATGGATGCAGGTGGCACAGGACCGTGCTTTGTAGCGTCCGTTTGGGGGGACCTACATTCAGAAGTGGGCTTCTGACGGGCTGAAATGGTGATGATACTGTTATTTTGATGGCTTACGTAAAGTACATTACAAAATATAATTGTATTATTGTTGTCACTTGTTATCTTTTAGAACTTATGAGTTCACAAAATTCAAATGAACACCTTAACAGGTGTTTGCTTTTCATTATGTCGTTTTACAGTTGTTTACATTATTTACCTACTCATCATCCATTTCTCAAACTGTATTTATATTATAGCGTGAATCCAATCGCTTCCTATAAGATAACGTTATCGTTTAATGGCCACTTGAGACAAGACACGAATGCCGACATAACATAAAAATAAAAAATATTATGTATCCGATCTTTTCTCGCCTGGCCGTAATATCATTTGCATTTTCTTGAGATTGTACCATAATATGTACAAATGTGCACTTTATAAAAGCTGCTGCATTCTTTGACACTTATCTCGTTAAGTTGTTTAATTTTCTTAAAAATCTGTATAAATGAATAAAATTGAAGTGTCGGATTGTAATGTCAAAAGAACAACTTTTTACTAAATGCATATTCAAGTATAAATAAGGTACTTATAACAAAAAAAAAACAATTTTATAAAATTTTTGTCTATGTCTGATATAAGTTGAAAGTGTACGTAAATGGGAATCTTATAGATAGCGAGAGAATCTTAGAGATAGATAGTGTGGTGACCTGCGAGGGTGACTTGTGGGGGTGACTTGAACTTTGATGCTGCGGATTTTTATATCGCTTATGAAAGGTCTTCATGATTTACGCCTAGTGTAAAAAATTCGCTAAGATCTTTAGGAGTTATTAAAATATTACAAACATAATATTTCTTATAATACCTATACTGTTATTAAAAAAAACGTTAAATACAAGATTAGTTGGTACTTGGTAGTCAATAGTCACTTTTGGTTTATTATTATTTTTAGTTTGCCTTCTTTATGTTAATATGATAAGTATGTAATACATATGTATATATAGTTCGGCACTAGCATGTAATATATTTAAATGGTTCAACATAATAAGTAAAGTTTGACCAATGTCGTTTTCTTTTGAAAATAATTTACTCCAACCTCCAATCTAACACCCAACAGTTTATCGATGATTCTACTTTCAAATCATATAATATGTACATACATCAACAATACAAATAAGAGCCTAATTATCCCAATGCAAATCATAAAAAAATCGTAAAACGTTAGCCAACATGTGTGTTGGCGTCGGAGGCCGGATCAAACAAGCGAACAAACAAGAGTGTTTGGACAATCGCCACTTTCGGCTCTGTTCAAACAGGGACCGTTGTTTGTTCAAGTGCTAGTGACACGCCACTGCTACGATGCAGGACCAGTTTAAGATGATCTCAAACTATTCCTTACGGCTTTAGCATTTTCTATGTTTTATGTCTCAATGGTCGATCTTACATCCTTGGCGTCGGTTTTAAAATAAGTCGACACCTTTCTCGTTTAAGGTGGGATGGATTTACCTGTCACAATTTTAACTAGCTTAGTACGGGGTCGACAAAGGTCGTATTTTACTTAGCGTCTAACACTTTATTTACAAGCCAATTAAATTATTAATCAGAACAATAAAATTAAGAAAGATTTGATTGAACGCCAGCAAAAGTGCAAACTTTCTTACATTTTAGTTTTGTTAACTTAAAATATAGCGCAGTTGAAAGAACATAATATTTCTACTACTATTTTATATCTATATATATATATATATATATATATATATATATATATATATATATATATATATATATGCCTGATGGTAAGTGGCTGCTTCAGTCCATAGACACCTGCAGCTAGCTTTATGCGCACTCACTTTACATTGAAATCTGCTGTTTCCTGAGTGAGTGATGATGAGGTACCTACCCCTTTTGCTGGTAACAAGGCCATCTAAATCTTCAGAGGTAGGTGTCTATAAACCACAGCATCCACTTACAATCAGGTGTACTTTATTATATATTTGTCACCGTTCATTTTAGTATAATTATTATTTAAATAAATTAATAAAAAATATAACTTCACATAGTGTGGAACATACGATAATCATATCTTTTTTTTTAAAGAATATTAACAATGCTATAAACATTACTAATATTCCCCTTAACCACTCGTGGTAAGCTTAAATTGCTTTTGTGTTACGAGTGGTTCACGCCAGTAGTCGAATGGTGGATTCGAACCCACGACCTTTTTGAGTTCGCGGTCCGCGTCCTGCCATTAGGCTACTGTCGTTTTATAAGGCTTTAAGTAATTTATCCATGTTATAAGTTCTAGTTTATTACGATCTCCCACTGTCATTGCCGTGTTAACGAACTTGTTTTTCCATCATTAATGTAACAGACGAATAGGTTTTGCTATTACCATAATGGCTCTTGCCAATCCACCTGCTCTTTACAGCTGATGCTAAACCCATACTTAAAGCCTCCTCTTCGAAAGTTTAATTACAGTAGTCGCTACACAATTATCATAAGCGTCGATTATAAAGTTAATGTTTGCAATGCCAATGACGGTGTGCTTGATAATTAAATATAATATGTATATTGAAATTGATTAAGTACAGTAAGCTTCTGTAAATTTGGAAGAACATATTATAAGTTTGGTTGTATTTTTTCGTTTTTCTTAAAAGATTTATATAATATTAGTAGCTTTTACTTGAAAATTATGTTTAGATCATATTATATGATAAAATAAATGTGGTAATAAAGATTTTTTTGGGAAAAATAACAGCAACAATCCAGGTAACAATTCGTCGCTGAAAATCGATTTAAACGATTAATTTTTTGATGAAAAAAAGCGGGTAATGGGGCAAAATAAATGATTCCTTGCTCTCTTCTAATTTTGAAAAAAATTGAGGCTCGCCCCTTTGCGGTGTCAGCGACGAATTTACCTATAGGTTTATTGGCTATTGTAGCTTATTGTATTGTATTGTTGCTTCTTAAGGTGGTGCGTTGTACCTATATAGGATAAATCCTTTAATGATTTCTTATATTTACGCGAACACTACACATGATTAAAACTACTTTTACGGATTTTATCGCGTTTATTTTTGCTTTTAATTACTTTTATTTTTAATTCCCGACGTTTCGGGCGCTTTCCAGCTCCCATGGTCACGGGGGACTGAGATGACTGACGTCCCGATGTCATTGTTAAACCCGGAGTACCTTCAGCCCTATTATTATTGGCTATTGGCTATTGGCTATTGAAATTAAAAAACATCCTAATTTCAATAGAGAAGGAGGCTGGGTACTACCACCTGCTTGGGATCCTATAATCAATGAAATTAAAACTAAACCCAAGCATACCACTGCAAGACCTCAAGACATAGTCAGTTCATTTTGCATAGATCGGACCATAAACAATAATTAAAAAAGCTGAAGGTACTCCGGGTTTAACAATGACATCGGGACGTCAGTCATCTCAGTCCCCCGTGACCATGGGTGCTGGAAAGCGCCCGAAACGTCGGGAATTAAAAATAAAAGTAATTAAAAGCAAAAATAAACGCGATAAAATCCGTAAAAGTAGTTTTAATCATAAATCCTTTAGACAAAACACAGTAATGAATGTTTACATCCAGATGAAGAGAAAGCAGCCCAAATAATACTCCTAAAAAGGTTTTCCTCCTAGTGTTATAATCTAGGTTAACTGTTATCTGTTACCACCTAAATTATATAATAATTTAAGCCTGCTACTACCCCATATGATTAAGTTATAGGTAATAATAATAATAAGCTTTTAATAATAATAATAAGCTTTATTGATAATTATACAGTGAATATATGAAGTCTCTGATTGCTGAACTAGGAATTATACCTGTATCTCAGCAAAATATAGGTAATACGTAAACTGGATTATATCCGTTACCTGGGCGGCTCTACCACGTAAAGTTCATGTGCAATTATGTTATGGTTGTAGCACGAATTGGTTGGCTCCACTGTGGGAGGACCACGTTGTCACAGAATTCTAACGTGAAATAGCAGCTTGATGCTGCTGTGTTTTGTCTACGAATACATTTTAATAGCTAGGTAAATTTAAAATTTTGTAATAAGTGAAATGTGTAAAAATTAAAAATTGTTGGTGTTCCGAAAAAATAAATGGTTAGAGTTCAGTTCAGAACCGAATGCCCTTTTTACTGGATACGAGGCAATCCATTTTAGTCCTCAGAGCTATGACAACGCATCTGCATTTTGATCGGAGATAGATATAGATGTATAATGGCCACAGCATCCATTTACCAACCAGTGGATTGTGTGCTCGTTTGTCACCCTTATTCTATAAAAAAAACATAGGTTTTCGTTCATTCTGATTCTGAGAGGGTTATTGAGCATAACAGTGTCAGCCGCACTGCTGCATATTCTATAAATATTCAGAATATGCAGGAGGAGTTTTTAGCGTGCACGTGCTAAATCGACATTACAATACAAAATTACAATTACAAATTTAATTGTACCGACGGGAATCAAAAAGTTTATGCACTACATATGAGTATATATATATATAATGAATTAAAGCACATAGTATTTTTATTTTATTTTACTACTCCACGGACATGGAAATCGGAAATACTTATACTTTATAATCCTTTATTTGTTTTTATTACGTATATACAATATGTAACGGAATTAACGCATACCCTCAGACACCCCAATTAGTATATCATGTTATAATCATAATACATACACTAAATTTTTAGTTAAACATTTTTATGCACTGATTATTTATCAAATTAGTTATACTAATTCCGGTAGAATGTTGTGGTCACAGTACAAATCCACGAACGCAAAGACTTTAACGTGCTTGTAATAAAGTTCATTTTTCTTTATTTATATTGAATGACAGAATTAGTAATAATACAAATAAAACTGCACTCTTAAAAGTCTTATTGCCTTAAGTTACGGTCCATTTCAGTTTGTTTTTACTGTACAGATTTAGTGTGACTGTAATTTACGTAGTTTTAATTATTTTTGGGATAACAAATTACCTATATTAAAAATGATAGGAATCGTTTCAGTAAACGATTCTGAACAAACTACTTCCAGGATGTGCGTTAATTATGTTACATGTTGTATATATACACTTGGTGTACATAACGCTTATATAACTAAGTAATAACTAAAAACGTGTCTCTTTATAGGTGGGTGGTGGCTGCTGGTGCGTGGAGGGCCAGTGTTCTCCGACCGCCAGCAAACCCTGTTTCCGCTCGCAACGACCGCCACTCCTCACTGCTGCAGCTAGCAGCTTGGGGTGTACCGGCAGCTTTAGCTGCAGCCGTGCTGGTCACAAGAGATGTAGATGCTGATGAACTTACGGGTAATAATAATAATAAATATCATAGGAGTCGCAGGAAGTGTAATAGTAATACGCTTGATTACTTGTTGTTTACTTTACTAGTTCACAACTCGAATAGCCGGTCAATAATTATTGCAATCGTTTAAATAATATCACACAATGGTGGTAAATTATCCCTACTACCTACTAAAACTGAACCTAACAACAGTTTGAATGTGTTATGTTAAGTGCAGTATGTACTCTCAGACGAAATAAGTTTTTATTTCGTCTGAGTATTAAGCGCTTATTACATTATACAATTTTTAGAAAATCTAATTAGGAACCTAAATTGGAAGCTAGTGATCACACTACACTAAATTGAATTCTAAATCGTGACGAAGCGCATTCGTAAAGAAGTATCGACGGGGTTGCACGTTTGATCGATGGCGCCGCATTTATCAAAACAGCAGAAAATAGGACTTGCCTTAGCCGTGGTGGGAACAATGGATATTAAAAAAAGAAAAAAGAGAAAATGCTGGGTTAAAGAATACTTGTCATTGAGAAAAAAAAACTGTCCAATATGAATATAGTGCATAGTATGTTCGAACCTGGCGACTGTAGAAATTTTTTAAGAGTTGATTCTAAGCAGTTTGATTATTTATTAAGTTTGGTATCCAAACATATTGAAAAAGAAGCCACGATATTTCCACTTAGATCAAAGCGCGGGCGCCGACTGGTTGTTCTAAATCGTAAAGTTGCGATTACACTGTCCTAAATTGTAAACAATTTAGGAAGTAAAGCGATTGGGACCTCTAATTTGACTAAATCGGATCCTAACTGTTCTAACTACGATTACACCTTCCTATTTCCTAATTAGATTTCCTAAAGATTGTATAATGTAATAACCGCTTTAGACAATCCAAATACTTTTATAACATGAAAATAGCTAAAACGCTGTCATAAATATTACTGATAAGTGAATTCATTACAAATGTTTAGAAAATGAAAATACTTAGGTATATAATACTCTATGTAAATACATTAAATTCTAAATTAAAAATAAACCGACAAAATTATCTATGAAAATTATTATGATAATACAATGACTAATAATCTATTTTATATTTGATAATTAAAAAATAATATAATAGCAAAACGATAACCATACAAATATTACTTATAAAGATTCATAATGGAAATTATGTAAAAATCACTGATAAAAAATTATTAAATTATACAAACGAAAATGGTAAGGCGTTATATAACATAATAACATAAAAACATTGTATAACAATGTATTATATACATTGTAAGAAATATCTTGGTTATAGGACTTATAATATACTATACATACTAAAAAACGTAAGTCCATAAGTCACTCTTTTCAGGAATAAGTAAAAACTCAATAAAAAATACCGATAAACTATAAATTCAAATTCATTGGAATATTACGATGTTTTTAATTAAATTAACATGCACATAAGTATAACTTGACATAAATTTAATAAAACGCGATTTTAGTGACTTATGTTATAAAGAACACCGTACATGTAGGTACTTGTGACTTAAGTGTATGAGAACGGTACATTTCATTATAAACTAAATTTTGTTTGACAAATACAAGAAATACATAGAAGTACTATGAACTTAAAATTAATTTACCATGCATCATTTATATATTAGCCTAAATTTATCATTTATCTAATCTACTTAATTAGTAATCTATCTATAATATCAGGGTCAGTATTACGTACTATATTGTTTATAGTAGGCGAATCTAAATAAAATCTATAAAAATTCGGCTATCAAGGAGAATAAAGAAATCAGATCATCTTTTTTTCTTTTGATATAGGTAAGGGCTGTACCGATATAAAAGGAATAGTGTTAGGTATGGCTAAAAGGCGTCGTTTCAAGTGTAATTTGAAAAATTGACATTCTGTGACCATTGTGACTTTGAAGGAGATGACGCCAAATTAAAATTATATATCTTAATATATGTATATAAATTACGTGTCACGTTGTTTGTCCGCGATGGACTCAACTATTTAACCGGTCCAACTTGAGAGATAGGATAGTTTTTTTGCCTGTGAGTGACCCACAATTTTTTTTTGAAAAAAAAAATTGTACGAAAATTTTCTCGCATTAAATTCATGCTGACTTGACACAGACAATTTTCGATTTGCCGCCAAATCGTGCTGACAAATGACAAATTAATAAAATACATACACAATAATATTGGCAAAGAGATCTATTTTTAAAATTTGAGCTTATATTCTTGTTATATCGTTTACAAGTGGCCAGTTCTAAAAACTTTCATTGTCGCCCTCGTATAATTGCCACGCTTGGCAGGCAGGGTTGCTAACTCAAAAAAATTTTTTCAGTCTCCTAATGAGTGAACACAAAATGAAAGAATAATTAGTTAATACTCTACATTACTTAAATTCATATAAATTAATTTCCAAGAAAAAATCAAGCCATTTCCACATTTATTTTCCATAGTAGCTTATTAGCTTATTACATACATGAGTACCGCTTATTAATTTCTTCTATAAAACATACTTAGTACCTTTATAACTTACAATAAATATACTTGTGTGTTTATAACGAATGTCCACTCTCATTGTTCGAAAACAATGAATCAATACAATTCTAACATACATCCGTATTGACGTGCCACAATGGCGATGGCGATTCTTGATTTAACATTCCCTCCTTGATTATTTGATCGGCGGCGTTTTCAAAGCGATTAAATCTCATATGAGTGCGCGGGAGCACGCATTCAATACAATAAACGCATTCAACGTTTTGTCTTTAAGTACCAACCACGTATGTTCAAGCTCCGATTCGTAATAAAGCTGACAGTACAGTTTATTGAAAAATCCAAATCACTTTGGACTAAAATTTTCATATGTTCAAACCAAATCGTTTTAAACTTGTAAAACGCAGTCTTCAGAAACAAATAATCTTTAGTCTTGTGAGATTTTATAAGAGCAGCTGCACTACACAAAATATTAAGACTAGAAAGAATTACATAAGTGGTAGAGCCATGCTGCAGCTATATTATGGTAGCAGCATCAGTGGGTTGGCTCTCCAGAACCAAGCTCTCACAGAATACCAGCGTAAAATAGGAGCTTAATACTAGTGTGTTTCGTATATCGTTTTACTGGAAATGAGGCATTCCATCTTAGTCCTCAGGGATGACAACGCATCTGCATTTTGATTCTTAATCGAGGATAAATGTAGACGTCTATGGGCCACAGCATCCACTTACCACCAGGTGGACTGTGTGCTCGTTTGTCACCCTTATTCTATGATAAATAGACCATTTTTAGTGGAAACGAGGCATTCCATCTTAGTCCTCATGAGTGACAAGTGACAACGCATCTGCGTTTTGATTTGTGATCGAGGGTAGATGTAGATGTCTATGGGCCGCAGCAACCACTTACCTTCAGGTGGATTGTGTGCTCGTTTGTCACCCACACACATCTTATAAAAAAATTGGTTGATCCTGCAGATCCTTCCCTGGAACTTCCCGCTAATTTCAAATGCAAAGCGCTCCAAATTTCACTAAATTATGTTGCGAAATCTGGAAGTTATGTTTTTGTTTTCCAAATTCTTTCTCCGTCGATATCACACGAACCAATGAATCGATTTTTATTTTTCAAACGGTATTCGACATCATTTTTTTGAGTTTAAGAGCTGATTGGTTTTTGAAATCGATCGGTAAAGCCATTTAAAAGGTATTCCAAAAAAACAGCTTTTCAAAATTTTTATTTTTGAGGTTTTCCAAAATCTACTCGTCCGAATCGGTTCATATTATCATCAAATCGTACGCGCGCACGCAGGGTTTCGCGCAAAAAATAACTAAATCCCATAAAAACCATCGTTATAATTACCACGCGGATGATGTCGCGGGGAACAGCTAGTATATTAATGGTTACATATTACTTAATACAGTTCAAGCGAATAAAAGTGGGAACAATGTGAGCATTATATAAACATTTACAAACGGTCCCTTATCGCAAAGGCTACGAGCGATTTAGTTCTTATTAAAACTTTAGAAGGACAAAGGTTGTTCAAGAATGCCGCGCTGATTATGTTCTCTAAGTTCTTTTGAATAATAGATTATTATATCAGAACAGAATACATATTTATTCCAAACTTATGTCCAAATTCTCTGCATCTCTCTTCGTATTACGGATGATGTCTTAAAACATAAAACATAAGAATATATAAGTATTTGATGTTAACCGAGATTGTCGGCTTTTTATTAACTGGCGTGATAAGACTATCAAAAGGTTTCCCGCCCTTGTTTAAACTGTTTTATATTTGCGCAGTAATAACGATAGACTCGTTGGAACAAAAACCGGTATATTTTAATAAACTTAAATGATAACACATTATGAAAATGTTTCTTATGTGGTACAGTGGGCCTGGGCACATAAGAAAATTCAATGGAATAAAGAAAAAAGACTCGTTTTCCTTATAAGACAGTTTTTTTTATAGGATAGGGTGACTAAGGAGCACACAGTCGCACACAGTCCACCTGATAGTAAGTGGTTGCTGCGGCCCATAGACATCTACATCTATCCTCGATTACGAATCAAAATGCAGATGCGTTGTCACCCGTGAGGACTAAGATGGAATGCCTCGTTTCCAGTAAAAAGGGTCTCCGGTTCTCTACACTCACCATACGAAACACAGCAGCATTAAGCTGCTATTATACGCCGGTATTCTGTGAAAGCGTATTTCTTCCCCGGTCGAACCGACCCAATCGTGCTACAACTACACTACTAATGTAAATCGACCACTGCAATCCATGTACAACTACAGCCAACTTCATACAAAGAAGGCTGCAAGATGCATTGTCGTCCTTGAGGACCACGAAGGAATAGCTTACAGCCTGTAATTATACTGGCTCCCTAAACCCTTCTGACCAGAACCAGCACTAGCACTGGTAGTAGGCAGCAGCAACCTAGCCAATTTTGGCAATTTAAAAAAGAACAAAACAGGGACATGGCTAATAGTAGTTGCTATACGTGGTAGAAATTAGTAGAGCCACGCTGCAGCTATATTATGATTGTAGCACGAATGGGTCGGCTCGACCGGGGAAGGACAACGCTCTCACAGAATACCGGCGTAAAATAGCAGCTTAATACTGTTGTGTTTCGTATGGTGAGTGTAGAGATCCGGAGACCATTTTTTACTGGAAACGAGTCATTCCAGCTTAGTCCTCAGTGGTGACAACGCATCTGCGTTTTGATTCTTAATCGAGGATGTTTTTGTCCACGTAGCCAGGGAGAAAAAAGAGAAATTAATTTGTATGGACTAAAAGGTTAAAAACCCCTTCAACCTGATTGAAAGCTCATTAAGTTTATTTGGAGAGTTTAATTAGAATATTACTAGTTTTAACCGACTTCAAAAAACGAGGAGTTACTTACTTCGCCTGTATGTTTTTTTGTGTGTTACGTGGGGCGTTCAATGCATTCTCGGTGTTAGGGTGATTTGCTAATAATGTGGGTAAATAAAAAAATCATTAGCTAACGACACTGCCTGAGGGTGTGAGGGGATAAATATGAAATTTCGTCTTGATAACTTCATTAATATTTAACCTTCAGTCATAGACGATGGGAATGACTGATTCGTCAATGTTGAACAAAATCAAACACCGTGCGGTGATTAAATTCCTCACTAAACAAGGAAAAACTAAAAAAACATCCATGAAGAAATGGCGGCCGTTTACCAAGACTGTTCTTTCAATGTCAACCGTACAGAAGTGGTCAAGTGAATTTAAAAGAGGCAGGGAAAGCATCGAATATGACCCCCGCCCGGGTGGGCCAACCACAGCGGCTACAGAAGACAGTAACAAATATTGAAAAACTTGTATTAGAAGATGCACGAGTAATAACTAAGATGTTAGCAGACGTGACTCACCTATCAGTTGGTAAAAATATACACCATATAGTATGACTAAACATCAATGTTTTTTTAATAGGAAAGGGGGCTAACTAGCATACGGCTCACCTGATGGTAAGTGATTACCGTCTCCCATGAACAACTGCAACACCAGGGGAATTGCAGATGCGTTGCCGGTCTTTTAAAAAGGAGTAGGCTCTTTTTCTGAAGGTCCCTAAGTTGTATCGTTTCGAAAAAATCGCTGGTGGTCAACAATTCCACAGAGAAGTTGTATACAGAAGAAAACTCCTACTGAAACGTTTAGTGGTGGACCGCCGAGCATCCAGAAGGTGTGGATGGTATCGGGAGGTTTGCCGCGTAGTGTGTTCATGAAATTTGACAGCTGGGATTAATACGAACAATTCCTCAGAGCACTCCCCGTGATAGCTGCGAAAGAAAATGCAGAGATGCAACATCTCTTCGCAGTGCCAATGAGTCGAGCCGATCGGAAAGCACTCGGTCGTCGACAATTCGAGCCACTCTGCGCTGGATGCGGTCAATTGGAAGGAGCTGGCACTGGGGAGCCCCAGCCCAGAGATGGGAACAGTGTTTCATTTGCGGCCGAAGCTGCGCCTTGTAAAGTTGCAGGTTGTGAGCCGGCATGAATTACTGTCCCGCTCTGCTAAGCACGCCAAGCTTTTTAGTGGCCAATTTGGCCTTCTCTTCTAAGTGACCACGAAACTGCAAGTCACTCGATATGTCGACGCCGAAAATTCCGTTACCTGAGGCAACAAGGGGAGTGCCTTGAAACTGAGGAGATACGACGAAGGGGTTCTTTTTAGCGGTAAACGAGCAAACTTGTGTCTTCTGTTAAATTGGACTAGATTTAGGCGTCCGAGACTTTGTTCAAAAAAGTCTTGACTTCAGACACAAGTTTGTCCCGGTACCCAGCGACGTTTTCCCGAGAAATATTAGCACGGCCGGTGTACAGAGCATCACCAGTGCTGTCGTCTGCATAGCAATGAATATTACGGGTTTGCAACATCTCATTGACTGTTGTAGGGAGTTTTTAGAACTGTGTGGTGACCACCCAACAAGTGTTTTCGTTAGGATAGTTACAGGAGATAAAACGTGGGTTCACCACTATAACCCTGAGAGTAAACAGGAGTCTATGCAATGGCATAAAAAGGGATCAGATCCTTCCAAGTAGTTCAAAGTCACTCCATCGGCCGGTAAAATCATGGCCAGTGTTTTGGGATTCCAAAGGAAGAGAGTCTACTATTGATCTGAGTCTGACATGAGTGTACTATTGATCGAGTACACAAGACAAGGTGAAACCATCAACTCAGCCGCGTTACGCCGTTTGAGAGAAGCAATAAAACAAAAGAGAAGAGGAAAGCTGACCACGAGAGTGCTACTTCTTCGTGACAACGCACCGGTTCACACGACGCGGATCTCCAAGGATGCCGCACGAGACTACGGGCTTGAGAAAGTTAACCACCTACTACGAGTATACAGCCCAGATCTAGCCTCTAGTAACTACTTTTTATTCCCAAACTTAGAAAAAGACCATCGGGGAAAGCGGTTTGCTGACGATAATGACGATAAATAAACATTTTTCAGGTCAAGAAGAAAAATATGTTTGCAGGTAATAGAAAATCCTTTTTCACGAACAAGTAAATGTATTGATGTCATGGGGACTATATCGAAAAATAAAAAATATTTCATAATTTTGTCTTTGTTCTATACCGAGAACCGATCCCATACCGAGAACCGATGTTGATAATTCTTTTATTTTTTTATTTGAAGGCTGATGCTTCTCGTGTAGTCCCATATAAATTTGTTCAAGATCTGAATAGTATTTTTAGGGTTATCCTTAATAGTGCGTATTTAATTGACTTTGACTACAATGATGATGTTCTCATTTTATTTATATCGAAGTCGGTTGTACAAAATTTTTAATTTTACCACTTGTAACATAACCGCTTAAGGCTTCCGTCCTTTGCTTTTTTACATTCCTAGCCATTAGAGGGGGCGCTCTCCCCCGTGCATAAATACGTGCGAGATCGCAGGTGAAGGTGCTCTACTTCATTAAATATATAACTTATTAAATTTTTTTCCAAAAATATTCAGTTTACTTTTGTCGTGGTAGTATAATTTTTTACCCTTTTATATTTTATAAATGTCGTTTTTAGTAATGTTTACACGGGGTGTAGGTTTAAAAAGGGTATATACAACCGAAGGAAAATAAAAACTGCCTCTTCATACAAATTTCGCCTCTAACTTGTACATTTTGTACTTTACTACTATTTGTGTGTCAGTACACAAGAATATTTCTTCTTTTTTCTATCCATCTTTTTTCGTTTATTTTTTTTGGTAATAAATTATATATAAAACTTAAAATATATAAAACATACTAAATATAAAAGTCCAAGTCAATTAATCTAATACTAATATAAACACTAAACACTAGAACTAATATGACAATTAAATAAAAATAATGTATATTTAAGTAAAGCAACTTTCACGATATGCTCCGCTCAGTCCATAAGAGCTGCACGAGGGAAAAAGATCAACCGTGCGAGCGAGAGGTAAAGTAACGTTGAGCGACACCGCACACGTCTGAACGTCGAGAAATCCCAGCGGAACTGAGAGAATTTTCAGGCGTTTCTGGTTTATAAATGGCATATAGGTAAAAAGTACGAAAATATATATACTTTTTTCATTTTATTTATTTCTAACTCTCTAAAAACCACATAAAATAGTTCTATTTAATGTGGTTTTAAGTACGACTTTTCTACATTTATACTTTTAATAGAAAAAAATAGATATTTGCAGTAAAAAAATCTTGTAAAATTACAACTTTTTAAGCCCTTCAAATAAGAAAATTAAAGCATTTATAAAAAAAGTGTTTAACCAGATAAGATTATTGTAGACAATATGTAAATAAATGTAATCTGAATACTTTTCTTGATATTGTTAAAGTTTGTTCATAGCAGAGGCTTTAATAAGACCTTTTACGCATGTAACCTAAACATAGGCATGTTTAACGCCTAATAGATCTATTAATTTAAACACCAAAATAAAATTAAAAAACAGTTTCTAATATATCAAATCCTACACTTTAAATAAATGTAGAATATGTTTCACTTTTTCTTTTTTAAATACTATAAAAAATTGTTTTGCTGTAAATTTTGCGAGAACACTAATTTTACAAGACCGGGGCCTTAAGTATTCTTTTTATTAACCTTTTTTGAGTGAACACATTATTAAAAACACGCAGAATATAGAAACATGACTTACATGAATTACAAATACCTTTTTCCTAATAAAATATCTATCAAGAAGATTTCAGGTTAAATGAAATGTTCAGTAACATGCATTCATTATTTTTATAATGATTTATACCGTCAAAATAAACCTTAAATAATTTTGTATTAAAAAGCTCTAATATACATAAAGGCTCGGAAACTTAGGTATACATATAACATACGATATTATTCTTTAAAGTAAGCAGTGCGAATTCATTGAAGTACCACACAGCCCTTTTCTCAGGCATATTGTAGTTTCAATCTGGCCAAGTGTATTGTCGTTTTATTTTTGTTTTATTTTTCGATTTCATTATAATGGCCAAAAGAAATGCGCGACCATTCTTTGAGCCGTTAAATACGACACCTTTCCACCTCGCACGCTCGTATTTCAATTTTAAATCGACCCTTTTAACCACTGCCTTATTAATGCAAGCCTTTTTTCTTACCGGCTGTTTGTGTAGGTGTTCACTTTAAAAGCTTTATCAGACGGAATGCTATTCAACTTAATAAATAGCACTCGAGAAAATACTAGATTAAATTTAATTAAATATATGAATGCTAGACGACTTAATCACTAATGCAATCATAATGTACTTCTCATGAAGTGAACAATGTTCTTCTAAAAAATTTCTTTAATATAAACTTTAAATTCTCTAAAAATAAAAATAAACATTAAATCCTCTGGAGTATACAGCAAAGGGCTCTAACCAAATTATTTATTTTTCAGGTACGTGTTTCGTGGGGAATCAGTCGAGCAAATCTTTGCTTGCCTTAGTCATCATTCCTGAAGCGATTTGCTTGCTACTTGGCAGCGTGTTCTTAGCGTCGGGGCTTCGTGCTATCCTACAGCGTTCCTCGCCTGCGCCAGCACCTGCAGCGCTCCTAAATGCACCACCCCAGCCGCACACAGATCAAAGTTTACTACGATTAGGAACGTTTGCAGCGCTTTACGCTGTTCCATCGACGTGCATTTTGATCACTTGGATATACGAATACACATGGCGTGACGATTGGTTAGCTGCTCCTGTTCCATCATCAGAACCATCAACTCAACCTCGTCCCGCGCTCTGGGTGTTTTTATTCCGAATTTTCGCGACACAAATTCTGGGCGTTATGGTTGCTGTTTGGATAGCGACGCCGCGGTTGAAAGCACTATGGAAGAGGATTTCAGGCCCTAGAAAGCCAACACTCGCGAAGTGTCCTACGGGTCCAGCGCCTGCTCCATTAACTTTACAGTGCTATGCCACTCACTCTCACAGTCTGCCTCGACATCCACACAAATATTCTACATACAGACCGCCACAACATCAATCATACAGAAAGCCTCGGCATTATCATTACTCAGCCGGTGAAACTATTCTATGACCGCGTATTTTTAAGTATAATTGACCTAATTTTGAATAAAATGTATAATATGACAATAAAATGTATGGGTATTATATATACGAAATATCAAGTGCCATTGAATTTAAGTGCCTTTTAATAGAAGCCTAACCGAAGCCTGAATACCTAGATATAATTGTGTTTGTGTAATGGTCCGATTTAGAGCTGTTAAAAGTTACAGTCTGTATACGTCCCACTACTGGACACAGGCCTCCTCTCATTTCTGAAAAGGTTTTAGGGCAAGGAAATGACCGCCGCGCTGCCCCAATGCGTGTTGGGGCAGTAACCAATTTTAAGCTGTATATATTATATATAATAATGTTATTATTAAAAGCTAAAATATTAATTAGGTAGCCCTTATACAAGACCTCATTACGTTGATTGCATAAAGATGATGACAAAGCCGTTTGTTTCATATTTAACTGCGATCAGATTAATTTAATAAAACTTTAATTTTTAAACAAAAAAAAAAAACACGTTCATTACATTTTTGAAAATTTAATGCCTCATTTGTACCTTAGCTTCTTAGACTATTTTGGGTTGAATGGTCTAAGCTTAGCTAATAATTGGGTAGTATGTTGACAAAAGTATTTAATAGCATTTTACCTTAGAGTATATTAATATTATAAGCAATAAATTGCATTTAAATACTATAAGCGTATTACCGAAATCGTAAATATTATATTAAGTAATACATCGCACTAATAATTCTATTACATTTTTAACTTGGTTAAAATTTTAAATAACATGTCATTCAGTAAGATACGATTTATGTACTCGTACATTTTAAAACAAAAGTTCGTTAGAGGAATTGGAATTATTTATTTTAATACTACACTACGGTAACGGTTCGTGTATAACATAAGACTATAATAGAGAATAGAAATATACATAAAACATATAAAAACATTTAGAAAATCAAACTTACTTATGTAAGTTAGTGGATGACTGAAACATAAAATTTAAAAAAATATTTTGTCAATCGGGAAATATTTCACTTTTGTTCTAAAAAGCGAACTGTTATCCCAGAAGGCGAAATTTTGAACGCTAATAGAAAGGGATATTTTTCCCGTAATCCGTAATTGTATCATAAGTACCAGAAAGATCTGTCTTCCTTTTTCCTTTGGATGGCCATGTAATCGTGGGTGTGTTCCGATATACACCGCGAGCACTGCTTAGTGCTCTATCCAAAGAGATTTAAAGATACTACTTAAATGTCTTTGGCTCTATCACTGGTGAAGAATTCGTTCCGTTATGGAGTGCCAGTATACTGCTACAGTACCTCAGGGAAATATATGACGTCATAAATCGCCGGCATTTTGTACTGTGAGCACTGGCACTGTTAGAAAAATACAAAACATAACAGTGTCTAGAGGTTAAACAGCTGCGACGAATGATCGATATTATTATTAATTAATATTTTATTCAAATAAATTTGTACATTAAGTTTTAAAACAACATTCAAATAATAATTTTTCTTGTTAAACAGAAAACAGTGTCGGTTAATGAGGATGACAGTATACTGGACTGCTTTCCGTTTTAAACAGTACCTAACCAGTATAGCAAACTAAAAATAAACGGCTTCACAGTATAATGAATTGACGCACAGTTATATCGGAGCATACCCCATGTCGTTTACGCGAGATGTAAAAAAACCCGACACAGCATGCAGCATCATGCAGCATCAAGGTGTCTGCCAAGCGTGGCTTTTTATTTATAGTTATTTGAAAAAAAAACCACCATTGCAAAAAAACATTATGGGTGTGTTCCGATATACACTGTGACCACTAAATATTTTTTATTTTATATAAGTTAGCAAGTCTAGTAAATAACAGTGTTTATACATACCTCCTGTGACTTTTTGAACTAAATATACGAGGTAAGAGTTTTTGAAAAAAAAATTATAATTTAATTTAATTATAAGGATATCAAATACTAAGAAACGAAAAATAATAGTTTGTAATAATAATAAGTACCTATGTAAGTACTATAGTATGTACATATTCCTCGGCACTATTTATTAAACTAAACGAATCTGTTTACCGTTATAAATAAATCTTACTTTAATGTTAGAAAAATACAAAACAAACAATGCTCTGGTTTGCATTCCTTGTGTATACGTTAGTAGGTACCTCTTATTGGTTTGTGCTTATTTAGTAATGTATGTGAACAGTATACTTCAATGATGTGTGAAAAGTCATATAGGTACCACCTTAATTTTACCAAAATAATGGCTATATTCTATGTATAAATTATAATACAAACCACATGTGTTGTAAATATTAATTTAAAATGATATTTTTGTACATATCAATAAAATAATAATTAAGTTTTATATTTATGTTTTATTTAAAAATAATATTCATTGAATGGAGGTATGCTGTAATATCCACAGTTGGCAGTCGGGATTTGTGATTTCGCATATATGGTTTGATTGACAGTTTCGCATCTTTGGTTCTGTTGTTTATAAAAACCATCTACACGTACTGCGGTAGGTACCTACACCTTTTTATCCTAGCCTATTTCTAAGATATTTCTTAGTCTTGGTTGGGCATTGTAATATGTTTGCCTAGGATCCTGATCCTGGACGCAGCAGGTAATCTTGGGTGATAAGCACTTCAATGTATATTACTAAACAGGCTTTCCGAGCTTAATACATTGCGCACTAAGTTACGGTCAATTCTCCGTAAGTACTTTAGTCGACTGCCAGCACGTGAGAAGACTAGCGAACGTTGTTTTTGACAACTTAACACTGATTTTGTTTAGGGTATGTTCCGAAATATAACCCAATATACTGGCCAATGCAAATGACGTCATAAATCGACGCCATTCTGGTGATTCGTTTTATCGAATATGGCGTCAATTAATGACGTCATTTGCATTCGCCAGTATACTGGGAATATTTCGGAACATACCCTTGATGTGACTAAGAAAATGTTGTTAATATATGTGCGCGCACTTTGTCAAAGTCATTTGAAGTTTATTTTAGATAAGTATGCAACTTTTATTTTATATTACCCTAAAACCAGTAAAAGTGTCATAAATGAAAATACAACTGCAAGGTATACTACTGTGCCAGCTACCCGCCCCGTAGGGCGGGGGTTAATCAACTCCTAATTCTTACATTTTTACATTATTAGTAGGACCTAGATTAACACCTATTCTGCTCTCCTGTCCGGTGAGCAGTCTGGCGAATGGCTTTGGGGGAGAGTGCAGGTCATGTTAATCCCCAGGTCAAGTCTGAAGAGTTCTTCCTTCACGTGGTTGCCGCCTGTTATTAGGTCTGGTTCAATAGGAAACGAATAGAACAGAAACACTCAGACGATAAGATATCCTCTTTTTGTCCCACCCCCTTTTTTCTATCTTAACCCAATATGGTTGGTGTTAAGCGTACCGTGCCGATGGATGCGTGGCTGGGGGGAGTTCAGACCCTAACGGTGCCTACTTGACACCAGGGCGATTCGGATAGAATTTTAGACCTTCCTTCGGCATGCGGGGCTCTGCCGAGGGTGACCGAAAATTTCCCTAGCTGGGAACATAATATAGAATGAAGATCGATATTTTGAATACAATCGGAAACGAACCAGGGAATAAGCAATAAAAAGTTCACTAGGCTTTACAAGCTTAATGGGGTAACACGGAAGCGGTACAGGAGGCTGACAGCAGCTGAATAGAAGCCTGCTAGAAGCTCTGCGCGCTTAGAATTCGCAATTCGTATCCTATGAGCGTGGAGCAAAAGCAGGTGGTCCATTGGGCACTAAAACAGGCTATCGCTAAGAGAGTGTGGGGTGCAGCCAGGAGCGGGATCGAAATTTTCTATTTCGCCCACAAGCCAGGTTAGATTCTGGTTACGCGCCTGAATAAGGCAAGCCAGGACTGAAACCCTAGCTAGAGTCATAGCTCTCAATAATACCTAAGGGTGAACTGCCCTAGGTCCAGCTGGGTATAACATACCTGCCCCGCAGCGAAGCTGACTCTCCAGAAGAGGTGACTGTGCTGTTGAGGGCACAAAATGAGGGGTTCAATACAGAACTCTGGAAAATCCTCCACCGCAGAACGAGGAGAATGGGTTCTTAGTAATCTTTTCCCTGGTCGACCCATCGGCGGAGGCTAAGAGTCAGCGGTCAAGGCGGCAGAGTCATCCTTAGTTTTAAAATGATAACTTTTAACATCAGGGATGACTCGGACGCGGCAATGGAGCCTGAACTGCCCCATCTTTTATACGTGGTAAAGCCATGCTGCAGTTATATTAGTAGAATAGTTGTAGTATGAATGGGTCGGCTCGACCGGGGAAGGACCACGCTCTCACAGAATACCAGCGTAAAATAGTATTACTTATTATTCCCAAGGATTTCACAAGTACCGACATTAAGCGGGTGGACGTGTTAAAAAGTGTTCCGATCAAATTAATCGTTAAACGTTTCAAACAGCGTTACTTAGTGGTATAGTGCAATAGTTGTGAGACTATAATAGTTTTTCAAAATACATTGGTGCTTAGTTCTGATAAAAGTGATCTAAGTTAAGAAAAATTAGCAAAATCATTTTAACTTACCCTTTAACTAAACTTGAAGGACTATTGCATATCGTACAAGGAGTTCAAAAATTTCATCATATCTGCTCAAGGCGTGTTGGTCGAACGGCCTAACGGTGTGCATTTCAATTAAAAGTTAAAGCGACGGAGGATCGAGTCCACTGCACTGTATATTAGAGTTGACGCACTTTTTGTACTTATAATTTGTATTATATTCTCTGCATTTTAACGCTTTATTCAATAGTAAAATGGGTGGAAGGTGTGAAGCATGCAGAGCAAACATAAATGTTACTCAAAAACGAATAAAATGCACACAATGTTCGCATAACTACCATTCAGAGTGCATAAATTTTAATAATGATACTGCTTTAAGATCTGAATGGAAGTGTCCCGCTTGCACTGCTTCTTGTCGAAAAGGTGGTGATAACAGTAACACTCCGATACGAACTAATAAGTCTCTTTCCAACACCGTTTACGATAAAACTACGTATAGATCATCAAACAAAAGTACTGACCAGCCTACATGTATCACTGAGACCAGTAGTTGCCAACCATATAATTTGGAATTAATTAATAGCATAGAGTTACTGTTAGACAAAAAACTCAGTGCTATAAAATTCGATATATTTCAAGAGTTGAAATTATCACTTATCACTGAAATAAAAAACGATATAACTAGTAACCTTAAACAGCTGGAAGAATCGTATAACAGTTTGCTAAATGACTACAACAATCTTAAAAGTAATTTTGAAAAACTTCAACAAAATGTCCAGAATGGCGAGATGAAACTGGCGGAATTATGTGCGCAAATAAAAAAAGAACAACAATGGGGTAGACTTTCGAACTTAGAGATTGTTGGTTTACCAGAAAACTCAAAAGAATCAACTTCTGAATTAATAATCAAAATAGCCAGCCATGCAGGAATAAAGCTTACGGATGATCAAATTGTTTTTGCGCACCGAGTTCAGCCTATGCAGAATGTTGGAGGTCGCCCAAAAAACATTGTAGTCAAATTTCAGAATCGCACTATTAAAGATAATATTATTTCAGGGCTCCGAAAAACCAAAGGAATTACTACTTCCGATATTGGACTGGGTGGTCCAGCCAAAAGGCTTTTTGTTAACGAACACCTGACCCCTGAGAATAAGCAACTCTTGAAACTAGTAAAATCACGAGCAATGGCCAAATCATATAAGTTTGTCTGGGTCAGAAACTGCCACATTTTTTTAAGGAAAAACGAGGAGTCTCCCGCTATCACTATAAATTCCGAAAAAGATTTATTAAAAATTGTATGATAAGATTAATTTTGATAGTATTAGCATGCTATTTTTAATATTAATAGTTACATATTTAACACATAAAACAACACTTACGATTTACACATCCATTATTACATACATCAAAATTTTTTTTATTTATATATAGTTAATTACAACACAATGGTACGTAAATCATGCTAAAAGTGCCTCATAACTCAATGCACATATTCTATCAAAACGTCCGTGGCTTGCGAACTAAAACTAGGCAATTTAGAGACAGTATAATTTGTAATAACTTCAACATAATACTCATTACAGAAACTTGGTTGACTGATGGTATTTACAACGGTGAATTGTGTGACAATAGGTACGACATATTTAGGTATGATAGAAATAAAACATCTTCGCATAAAAAGAAGGGTGGGGGGGGGGGTCATGATTTGTACGTATACACAATTACAAGCGCAAGAACGGACGGATGGGATGGGTAGCGATCGCGAATGTTTGTGGGTAACAATACCAGGAAAATATTTAATTTGTCAAGACAGACGTAATTTAAACATTGGAGTTGTTTATATACCGCCTGATAATTATCAATCAAAGCGTTAAGATAATTTTACAGAAATGCTCACAAAAATCATAACACAATGTCCAAATGATCATTTTATAATTGCCGGTGACTTCAACCTAGCGAATATATCTTGGTCCTCTTCAGGTCCCGTAATGCTTAAGCAAAGTCCAGTAGAATTACAAAATGCTACAATAAAGTTAACAGATCTATGCAACTTATCAGGGCTAAATCAACATAATATTATTAGCAACAATAGTGGCAACGTACTAGACTTAGTGTTTAGTAACATAAACATAGACGTTACTCGTTCTCAAATATATCTTGTATCTGAAAATAAATACCATCCTTCTTTACTGCTCGACGCATCTGATCTGCTAATACCCTGCTTAAAAAATAAACCACGATCAAAATTAAACTTTAACCGAGTTGATTACGATAAAATAAATAAAGCCCTCTCAGAAGTCAACTGGTCTTCCTTGTTAACTGGCAACTCAATTGATGTCATAGTTCAAAATTTTTATTCCCAGCTACACCTAATAATTGATAAATTTGTACCTACTTGTTTATCCCGTTCATCTAATTAACCTGTTTGGTATTCTAAATCACTAAGGCATATTATTCGAGAAAAGCTCTTAAAACATAAACATTGGAAAAAATATAAAAATGCCCGTGATTATGACGAATTTTGCATACTACGTACTAGACAAAAGAAATTACAGAAACAGTGCCACGAGCGTTACTTAGATAAAATGCAAAGCCTTCTAAAAAAAGATCCTAAAATATTATGGTCTTATTTAAAATCTATACGTAATAGCAACTCTACATACCCTAATACATTAAAATTAGGAAATGAATCATACACAAACGAAACGAACGTGTGTGCGGGATTTAATAAATTCTTTGAAAGTGTTTTTCAAAAACCTTCTTCTTCTTACGATTATTCCCATATTCCAAACGTAGAATCAAATGATATATTACATAATATATACTTTAGTACTAAAAATGTTTATCGTATTCTACATACAATTAAAACTAATACAGGGCCTGGTAGCGATGGCATACCTCCCCTATTTATACATAAATGTGCAAAACACTTGGCCAAGCCTCTCTCAATAATCTTTAATATGTCTGTTAACATCTATGGAACATTTCCTAGTAAGTGGAAAGAAGCTCTAATAATACCTATACATAAGAGTGGACCAAAAAGCAGAATTGAGCACTACCGCCCAATCTCCATATTAAACACTTTTGGAAAGATTTTTGAAAAACTTATCTTTATACACATCAGTCCCATAATCTTAAAATCAATACCAATTGAACAACACGGTTTTATAAATAAAAGATCAACTGTAACAAATTTAGCTACTTTAACCAATTATATATATATGAGCATGGATGACAGGCAGCAGGTCGATGTAATATACACGGACTTTGAAAAAGCATTTGACCGTGTTGATCATGCCATCCTTTTACGTAAATTTTACAGTTTGGTTATTCATGGTGATTTGCACAGATGGGTAACTTCATACATAAGTAACAGAAGGCAAGCAGTGTTACTGGGTAGTGCTCGTAGTGATTTTATTATGGTAACATCTGGTGTCCCACAAGGCTCAATACTCGGACCTTTGTTCTACAACGCCTATTTATTTGACATCGGTGACTGCTTCTATCATTCAAACTATTTAATGTTCGCAGATGACAAAAAAATTTATCGAAAAATAAAAACAATTGATGACTGAGTTCTGATTCAAAACGATTTAAAAAACCTAGAAACTTATTACAGCAAAAATAGAATTACTATCAATAGTGAAAAATGTGTCAAAATAACCTTCAGTCGCAAGAAACAGCTCATACATTACAATTATTCAATTAACAATAAATCCATAAAGAGTGTATCATCAGTTAGAGATCTTGGTATCAGGCTGGACTCAAAATTAACGTTCAATGAGCATATAGATAGCATTGTTGACAAAGCCTACAAGCAAATTGGATTCATAAAGCGCATCTGCAACGATTTTAGCAGTATTAATTGCATTAAAGCTCTATACTTTGCATACGTAAGGAGTGTTCTCGAATACGCTAATACAATCTGGTCTCCAAAGTATGCGAAGCATAAGCATCGAATAGAATCAATTCAAAAACTGTTCATTAAGTTTATCTCATCAAAAGATCATAATAGTTTTGATTCATACGAAAATGCTTGCAAATTTTACCGCTTAGATACCTTGGAGCTCAGAAGACTTCAACACGATATGTTTTTGCTATACGGTTTATGGTCTGGTAACATAGATTGTCCAGACCTGTTATCTAAAATATCGATACTAGTACCTAAATACCAAACTAGACATACGCCAGTATTTCACGTACCACGAGCAAAAACAAATTACGCAAAAAAATTCTACTTTATGTCGTATTGTTCAAAACTAGTTTTTGTTTTACGCTGACTTGGATATTTTCAACCTATCCAAGAGTCGCATCAAACGTGATGTTATAAACAAAAATAGGGCATAATCACACACACACACACACACACACACACACACACACGTGCCTGCGTGCCTGCGTGCGTGCCTGTGTGTGTGTGTGTGTGTGTGTGTGTGTGTGTGTGTGTGTGTGCGTGCGTGCGTGCGTGCGTGCGTGCGTGCGTGCGTGCGTGCGTGTGTGCGTGCGTGCGTGCGTGCGTGCGTGCGTGCGTGCGTGCGTGCGTGTGTGCGTGCGTGCGTGCGTGCGTGCGTGCGTGCGTGCGTGCGTGCGTGCGTGCGTGCGTGCGTGCGTGCGTGCGTGTGTGCGTGCGTGCGTGCGTGCGTGCGTGCGTGCGTGCGTGCGTGCGTGCGTGCGTGCGTGCGTGCGTGTGTGCGTGCGTGCGTGCGTGCGTGCGTGCGTGCGTGCGTGCGTGCGTGTGTGCGTGCGTGCGTGTGTGTGTGCGTGCGTGCGTGTGTGTGTGTGTGCGTGTGTGCGCGTGCGTGCGTGCGTGCGTGTGTGCGTGTGTGTGTGCGTGCGTGCGTGCGTGCGTGTGAGCGTGCGTGCGTGCGTGCGTGTGTGCGTGCGTGCGTGCGTGCGTGCGTGTGTGCGTGTGTGTGTGTGTGTGTATTTATCTCGAGTCGCCGGTCAGTTCGCGGAAAGCAGAAAGTGCTTGGAAAGGGTGTGTGGGTTTATTGTGTTTCTGCTACGTGACCACGTGATTCTGCGTAAATATAACAGATATGTTGATTTAATTTACTTGTTGCCATGGAGTTTCGATCTAATTTCAAGGTCAAAACACAAATTTGTAGACTTGTTGATGTTAGAGTCGCTAATTTCTTCTTTTCTTAAGGTTTTTCTCTTGCGTTACTAGTAATATTCTCAGATGTTACCGGTTGTTAAATTGCTCATGTGTTACCATAATACATGTGGCACATCAGATCAACACCGAAAATGTGTTAAAATTGTTATTGGATAGGTAGAGTTATAACTGTATAACATAGGAATTGATGATTTTCAGTTTATTACTTCATATAATTTAAAAAATCAATTTATGAAAAGTATACTTGAGGTGCCGTTAAAACTTGAAATGGGGCTCACACCTGTAAAAAAAACAGAAAAGATATAGGGAGAGATTAAAGAATAATTCAGAAAACTATGAGTTGGCAAAAGAAATACAAATAATAAGATATCATAAGACAAAAAAACCGGTAAAAGATCTGAGATCAACAGTTAAATATAACGTAATAATTATTTGAAATCAGGTAAAATTCCGACAAAAGAATGTAAGAGAAAGAAATAACGTTAGAAAGAGCTGTACAAGCTATCCAAACATCTCCAGATTCACCACAACTTGATTCTAGCCTTAAAAATATTGCTCTTCAGATAGACATTCCACGAATCACACCTCCACTACCACTTAATACACCACCAGCTATCGATGCATTAGAAACGACTCAGTGTGTTACATTAAAATCACAATCGGATAAACCAAGTGGAAGATGGAAAGTGAAAAAAGATAAGACCAAAGTTTGTGGTGAAAATAAGAAACTAAAAAAAGGAAACAAAAAGCTGAAAAGAAAATACGAGTAGTACAACAAAAGATACACAAGAAAGAACCAAAATGAATACAGAAACAGGAAGATTTAAGCTAAAAGTTTTAAGCTCTGCTATTCTAAAAACATTCAAAACAAACAGATCAAGAAAAGGAGGAGAAATATTTAAAAAAAAAATTATTTTTATAGCTGAAGTCGCCAACTCAAGAATGAAGAAGAAATTACTGAAGGAAAATCTAGGCATTGATGAACTGAAGAAGAGAAACTGTAACAACAGAGAATCAAGCTTAAAAAAGAAAGTAAAACAATTATTTTTTGAAATGATGTTTCACGGGCACATATGTTAATATTATTTTCTCATGCGTTACCAAAAACTTCTCATGCGTTACCAAATGTCCCTTAATTTTAGCTTGAGTTCTTGTACAATTTATCTTCCTGTTATTTTTTTTTCTACAAATGAATGCCGATTCCATTGCATCTAAAGACTGACTTAATTTAAGTAAATTCACCAGCATGTGGGGGATTTCGCTGTACTTCTTGTATTATGTTTGTATCACATTCAATAAAGAACTTCAAAAGTTAATATGTAAAGTTGATAATCTTAAAACATGAATACTTGTTAAACACGAATTTATGGTTAATATTTCAAACAGTTGTAGAAGATACACTTAAAATATGAATGTATTGCAAATTTCACAAGGAGACTGTTACGCTTACCAATGTTCAACACTGCATGTGAAAGAATATTCTCTCGAATAAATATAATTAAGACAAAAAGATGAAACAGATATAAATATAATTAAGACAAAAAGATGAAACAGATATATAAACATCATGTAGCGTCTATCTTGCACGTTAAACAAGGCATTGGCGAGGAGTTTTGGCGGGAACTTGGCCGTCGACGGACTGTCGCTCCTGCTTTGTCGCTTGAATAATGGTTTGAAGTGGATTTTAATTCGTAAAAATGATGTGATTTTGTGAATTAAGCGTCTGCGCGTGTGAACTATTAGAGAAAACGACGAAACAAGTGCTTTGATATTGATATAAACCTCAAGTTAATTCGATCGTTGGGCGTCTTTTGAACTTGAGCAGCTGTCGTCATCAACAGTCCGCTGGGTTGAGCTGCCGTCAAAATCTCCCAAAAACTTCGCAATGTGACGCATCAGCATATTGTGAAGAAAAAATATATGAAATGAAGATCAGAAAGAAATAATAGGCTCAGAAGGGCTAGAACCCAGAGCCGTAAAGCCTGTTACATAAAATAAAAATAAAAAGGCATTGGCGAGCATGGCGATTGCATTGTATTCAAACTAACAAAACGTATTGTTGCGCGCCTAAGTTGACGTCATGTACCCGGCACTAGCGCCATCTAGTGTCGGGGACGAGAGCGAGGGGAGCTTTCCAGAAAATGACATTACTAATCTTTCACCCGACAGCGCCATCTAGTATCGAAACGAAGAACTAAGCTTCTAGAAGCCCGACACTCGAACTTTCGGCGCCTTGTCGATCGCGTATTTACTTGAATATTCTGGATGTTTCGGTGATAATGGGTATTTAAAGGCGCTGCAAGGTGCGATCGAGGAAGTATTGAATTTGGCGAGACAAGCGAAGCTTCGGAGCGGAATAAAGTGATTCAGTGTGATTAATTATTAGTGTTTTAAGTTTAATTAGTGTAAAGTAATTTATAGATGTAAAGCATGTGTTAGAAGTAATTTAATATGTACAACTGTTGGAGATCCATATAAATAAATAAACAAATAAATAAATAAAGTGAATTAAAGTGTTAATTTTGGTAATTCTATCGGCAGTTTTTATTGTCATGAACCTTGAGCTCGTAACAATTGGTGTCAGAAGTGGGATTAAATCATGCCGATTTTACCTAAGGAGCAAACGGACGGTGTCCGTACCCGAAGTCAATGCCAGCAGGAGACGGACCAAAGAAGATTTGGTGGTGCAACGCCGCAGACGTCGGAGGGCCAGCCGCCGGCTGCAGGCCCGTCAGTAGCTCTTTCATCTGCAGCACCTGACTTAGATGCTCTGATGGTGATGCTGCAGGAGCAGGCTCGCCGACAGGAGGAACAGGTCCGTCGTTTAAAAGAGCAGCTGCGGGGCGGATAAGATGAACAGGCCCGCCGACAGGAGGAACAGGTCCGCCGACAGGAGGAACAAGTCCGTTGGTTGGAAGAGCAGCTGCGGGGCGGACAAGAGGAACAGGCCCGTCGGTTAGAAGAGCAGATGCTCCTTACGAAGGACCTTCATGCTACCTTTGGGAAAGAGATAAGGGAGGTGAAGGATAGGGTTGCTCAACATGACAACCGCCTGTCGGAAGCTGAAACCCAAATCAAGGAAGCTAAAACCCAAATCGACCAAGTGAACAATCGGGTTGATTACGTGGTGGCTGACGTGAAGAAAACGCTGGACGACCTCAAACTTGGGGATGGAACTACAGCTCCCGTAGTAGCTACTACACCTTCGCTACGTGGATTCAAAGTGCCGCCGTTCGACGAGACTTCTTCCTGGTCGGCCTACAAAATCCAGTTCGAGGCCGTCATGGAGGCGAACGCCTGGAATAAAAGCCAAGCCATGACTGCACTCACTCTAGGCCTGCGCGACCAAGCCTTAACTGTGTTGGAAGCTCTCGGTAAGAAAGTGACCTACGAGCAGCTCCTTGAGGCGTTGGAGGCGAGATATGGCGACGCTCACCTGGAACACGTCTTTCGCGCGCAGCTTAAAGATAGCGTGCAACGCAGCAACGAAAACCTACAGCAGTGGGCCCTTCTGGTGGAGAAGATGGTTCGAAAAGCATACCAGTCTGTACCTGCGCTCATTGAAGGGAACCTGGTTCAGACATTCATCGACGGTATCCGCGACCTTGAAGTCAGAGCTGCTGTGAGGCTCGGGCACCACGTGACGCTCAAGGAAGCCTTGGCCTATGCACTGGAGGTGGAAGAAATATTGGGACGGCCGGTGTTTAAGTCATCACTAGTGCTGTCGTCTGCATAGCAATGTTTTCAGTTTGCATATCATTGATATGCAGTAGAAACAGCGTTGGTGATATGGCACGCAGCCTTGTAGAATACCAGCGTTAATATGCTTGTAATCAGGGCATGCACCGTCTACTTCGACCCTGATGCTCTGATTAGCAAGAAAGCTAGTGATCCAATCGCACAATTTCTCGGAAAGCCCATAGGAAGGGAGCTTCGAAAGAAGCGCTTTGTGCCAGACCCGATCGAAGGCCTTCACTATGTCCAAACTAACGGCAAATGCCTCCCCCTTGAACGCCCATCTATGAGTAAGGTAGACCGGAAGGTCACCAGCTGATCGACCACAACGGAAACCGTGTTGGCGGTCATTGATCTGCTGGTGATTCGCAATGTACTTCATGAGCTGGTAGTTTAAAATAAACTCCATTAGTTTGTAGAACAAGGAGGTGATGGCGATAGGCCTGTAGTTGGACGGGTCTGAGTGGTCGCCATTTTTAGGGATCGGGTGGACCACAGCTATCTTCCAAGAATTCGAGACTACGCCTTAGGAGTAGGAGTACCGGAGAAGACGCGTTAAAACCGGTGCCAACTCCGGAGCATACGTCTTCAGCACAATGGGAGGGACTACATCAGGCCCACTCGACTTACTGACGTCTGGGGAGAAGAGTGCTTTGCGAACCGAGCACTGTGTAAACTGCACCTTCCGAATGGAGCACACACATCGCGGGATTGTCTGCGTTGTGTTCCCCTCGTCATCGAGAGTCGATTTGGATGCAAAGAGAGAGCCTAACAGATCGGCTTTCTTCTTTGCGGCATGGCCAGTGAGTCGCCCTCTCTGTGCAGAAATGGTAGCGATGACTGACAGAAGTTCCCTTGGACAGCCTTGGTGAGAGACCAGAATGCACGGGTTCCCAAAGGAACGTGAACTAGCTCCTCGCTACTTCTGCCGATGTGCAGAAGGTGAATGCTTCTGAAGGCGGAATTATACCTCTTTTTAAGAGCGCTGGTGTTTACATTTCGAGACGTTGATGCGTCAGCCCAGGCTCGGTAGTACTCCTGCTTATAGCGTGATGCTATTTTACAGGAGCTACCAAACTATGGCTGGAATCTACTTCCGATGGGCATCACAGTGGATGGAATAAAAGGTTTACCCTGATGTACCATATCAGCGACAATCAGCAACAATGCTAGAATCGTTCGGCGAGAAGCAAACCCACTCCCAAGGGTAGGATGTAAAAAAAGACCGCATCCCATCCCAATCGGCCGACCTATAGTGCCTAAAACGGCGGCAGCCTACAGAATGCAACCGCTACGTTAATGTCACTGGCACCACACTCCGGACAAGACAATGGTCCGACGACCCTTAAGAGGCGTCGACGGAAACCTGAAATCAGTCCGAATGAGAGGTTAGCAGAATGTCCAACAGGGAAGGTGTATGATCTTCCACATGCCAAAGCCACATGCCATATGTCAAAGCAAATTCATAAACAGATTGTAGAGGTGATGTAGAGGCGCTGTCGTCGCGCCACTAGCACACCGAAACACACCGAAGCCTAAATCGCGCTATTAAAATTCCGAATCATTGACAGCATATATATAGAACTTCTCCGAAATATCACTCGGAGTGCCGGCCGCTCCCCAGGCAGAACACCTTTCCTGGCGGGAGATCTCCTCTTTTCCTTCCATGGCTACAGTGGTGACCCCGACGTGATCTTGAACACGCAACCAAACAACCTTCTCAAACTTCAAGCTTCATCAACGTCATAGAATACCCCACCCATTCGCTCCCGAACAGATATCGTCTGCAGTCTTCATATCCTGCAAGCCATCTAGCTTCACAAGGTTCATCGCAGCACTGGAATATTAATGCTTCCTGTTCCTTCAAGCTACTCTCTGCGCTATACAGTGTTCGGCACGGCTCTGAGCCTTACTGCTCGCCTCTGCTTCATGGCACTCTCGCAGATTACTTGCCTTCTTCTCGACTCACCGCAGACTACAAGGCAATCTCCTGGCACTTGCACATTCGTCGACAATGAGACTTCACTATCGACCA